GAGGTCAGAGGTTTGTTTGTTTTGTAGGTAGAGAGAATGAGAGAGATTTTAGGTGTGGGGAGAGAGAGCGTGGAATGTTAAATACAATATTGGGGGGTGGGCTGATTGTGTTGTGGAGTGCAAGAGAAATGCATGTGTGGGGGTAGGTGGGATGAACGGAGGAGAACGATACTGAGTAGTACTAACAAAAGTAGATGCAGCCGCTCACCCGACACCTACTCTTCTTTGCCCAATTCAATTCATCCTTGATACTGTTAGCGGTCAGTTTGGTAGAGTTTGTAGATTCATTTATTTATTTATTTATTTATTGTGACAATCTATACTATTTATATTTATTGAAAGAACTCGTTGGAATAATCAAAAATAATAATTTTGACTTCGTAATTAAATTAGTTGACATACTATTAAAGAAAATATAGTAAAAATTATTTTGATAAATTTGAAAAAAAAAATCATATTATACCTATCTGTTGCAGATCTTGCAATCCGATTAATAGCATTATGATGAGTCTCCTCCTAGATCTGGAGTGAACCGGTGGAAATGAGCTCCGGTCTGTTTGAATCGTCTCCAAGTCGTCCGTGAGCCGCTGCGAACACCTGCAAGAACTCAACACCGAAAATGTTTTCCGGTGAAGAGCCTGCGACGCTCAAGTCAGTGAGGGAGAAGAAGATGAGCTCTGCTCAGTAGGAGCAGCAGCTGAATAATGAATAGAGCGAATGAAAGTTAGGGTTTGGAGTCACCTCTACTCCTTTATATAAGGGTAGAAATGCTCACTGGAAATACCTGAAATGCCCTGGCCGACTTACATGAAGTGTCCAAAATGCCCTGGTCGGTTCGCATTCTGCCCACTCCCTGAATCAGCACCTAGATTCCTTCTTATCTCATACAGATTCTCCAACTAAGGAGGCCTCGCTACCGTATTGAGGTAAATGTGAGTCGTTAGAGGCTCTATGAGTCGATTCGGAGTCTCATCGAGTCGACCTATGGTCACGCTTGTATATCCGAGGCTCTCTGAATGCTTATTCGCCTTCTAGTGCGTAAGTCGACTTATCCAAAGTCGACTTCCTAAAGTCGTCCTTGGATCGTCCCTAGACCGGTGGTGATCCTCAACATGACCACTAGGCCATGTCGACTTTGGAGGTATCGTCTCGACAATATCCTTGGCAACGTCTGTCGAGTCGAGTAATCAACGCCTGAACCGGGTTATGATAACTGGGCTATATCATCTAGTCCCCCCCAAAAATTACTCTAAGCGACTTCGAGCTTAAGAGTAAATTTGGTAGTCATCTCGTCCTTATTCGCAAACCGCCATGTCGATTTGGTAGCCAGATCCTTTGCTTTCTACTGATGAGTCATCTCGTCTCTATTTTTGACTCGTCATGTTGACGATTTATTTCATTTGACTTAGTTTATAGTCGAAGCTTTCACTTAGAATTTTCCTGAGGCATGACCCTTTGTCTTCTCTCTTTGAATTTCAAATTTTCGTGAGTGGGATGTGACTCGTCGCCTCCATCTACTTTTGCCGCTTTGAATTCCGTGCCTTATCTTGACCGTTGATTCCCTCTTTAATCGCAGGGCTAGGGCCTTATTAACCGCCCTATAAATATCTCTCATTTTCCTCTTTCTTCACTTTTCGCGATTCTCTTTCCTTGAATTCTCGAATTTCCGGCAATCTAGCTTCTTGGTGTTTCCGGCGCTCATAACATCCGGTGACTTCCCAGACTCTTCTCAGAACTCTTTGCCCTAATCAACATGTGTAAGTTCCCCTTTTTATTTCTGCAAGATGTCATGTTAGCTTTCTGGGTTTTTGGTTTGGGATCTATGCATGTTCTTCGTGTTCTTAAGAAATTTTAGATAATTCTGGATAACTTCCAACGTCAGATCTTTCATGTTTAGGTACAACCCTTAGATTTGTTGTTTTTTTTTTGGCGAATTGACTCGACTTAGTCTTTTTTCCTCTTCGCGTATCGTCATCGACTTTGTCGATCTTTCTTTCAGTAGGTCGACCCTAACCTAAGATTTGGTCGTCCTGGGCTTGATTCCCTTACACTTTTCTTCCTCCTCGCCTCTCGACGCACTCTTAATCTCTTCCTTGTTAGTTTGTTTCATGCTTTACTAACTTCAACCTTCCCCTCTTCTTTCTTTTTAGATTCCGGTTCTGGCTCCTCTCTTGGTACCGTCGAGTGCTTGATCGACGAGGCCCCCCCGATCATCCGACTCGGTGCAAATAGTGGGGTACAGAGTGGTTAGTGTATCCCCGCCATTTCTTCCCATGTCGTCGCTCCACGCGTCGACTGGGATGAGTACGAACAGGCCCTTTTAGAGGGTGGTTTGGTAGATCTTCCAGAGAATCCTTCTCGAGGGGAAACTCCTCGTCTCGACCCTTTTCCCCGAGGTATTCCTTTCAAACTACTAGACATACCTATATATAGAACTAGTCCAGTTCCTGAACCTTTGATCGCCCTTCTTAACGATCCTCGAAATGTTGTATCAGTAGCATTTTTGTTAGCTAAAGTAGCCGTTTTAAACCCTTTTTCTTATGCCTCTGCAGCCCAAATCGAGGGATTTAGGTCGTTCAGCGGCTTGCCTTCCGACTGGGAGTTGGTTCCCCCTGGACCCCATGATGTCTTTACTCATCCCCCTGAAGGCTGCTTCACTTTCTTCGTTGACCAAAAAATGTTCGGTTTGCGATTCCCTATCCAACCAGAGCTTTTGTCGATTAGCAACATGTACAATGTACCCATAAATCAGTTTTCTCCTAATGCCATTCGCATTATGGTAGCCTTTATCATAATCTATAGAATAAAGTTAGGTCGTTTTTTGCCCGAGTTCCTTCTGTATTGTTATAGCTATCGCTTCATAAAGGACGCCCACTGTTTGGGTCGTCGTCCTGGTGTTTCCTTCCTCAAGGATCTCTCTTCCAATGTTACTGAGTGGAAAACTAAATTCTTCTATATTCGTCCTGCTCCTGGCCAATATCCCTTTTCCAATATCTGGATCACTTCGAAAGTTCAGCCAGACCTCAAACGCCCTCAGTCGAGCGAGTTTCGAACCATGTTAGACGATCTAAATAAGTTTAGGTGGAGTGCTCGTCTGCTGGTTAAGGATAGCGGTCTCCTTAACCATGGGGGCCTTTGGATTGATGAGGATGCTTCTCAGGTCGACGATCCCCGTAAGCCCGCATGTTTCATTCACTTAATCGTCTCTCGTTTGTGTGTTTTTTTTTATTACTCTAAGCCATACTCTGATGACGATTATTGAGACGACTCTTAACCGACTACTCATTCATTGCGTGTTTCAGTTAAGGCTCTGCAACGCTTTGAGACCAAGAAAACTAAGGGTGGCGAGAAGTCCGCCAAGCAACCTTCTCACCCCGCGGGACGTAATGACGGTTCTGGTTCTGGATTGAGGCAGGCGGCAGTCGAGACGACTGCCGCTAGAAAATCAAAAGTGGTTATCCCTTCCGCGGCCGTGCCTCCAAAGGCCTCGGGGTCGAAGTCCCGCAAGAGAGCCCAGGATGAAGCCGACTTCGTGTTGGTGCCTGACTCGACCAAGCGCCAAAAGGGCCGTGATAAAGGGAAATCAATTGAGACTTCCCGCTCTCCTGGTGGCCTTGAGACA